GATGGATGGATAAAAGGATGGATTGAGGATGGATAAAAGGATGGATTGAGGATGGATGGATGGATGGAAGGATGGATGGATAAAAGGATGGATGGATGGATAGATGAATGAATGGATGGATGGATGGATGGATGGATGGATAGATCGATAGATAGTTGGATAGATGGATGGATAAAAGGATGGATTGAGGATGGATGATGGAAGGATGGATGGATGGACGGATGGATAGATGCATAGATGGATGATGATGGATGGATGCATAGATGGATGAATGAATGAATGAATGGATGGATGGATGAACAGAAGGATGGATGGATGAATTGATGCACGGATGGATGGATAAAAGGATGAATGGATGATGGATGAATGGATGGAAGGATTATGGATGGATGGATGGATGGATGGATGGATGGAAGAATGGATGGATAAAAGGATGGATTATGGATGGATGTATTGATGGATGGATGGAAGGAAGGAAGGATGGATGGATGGATGAAAGGATGGATGGATGGATAAAAGGATGGATTGAGGATGGATGGATTGAGGATGGATGGATGGATGGATGGATGGAAGGATGCATGGATAAAAGGATGGATGGATGGATGGATGGATAGATATATCGATGGATGGATGGATGGATGGATAGATCGATAGATAGATGGATGGATGGATAAAAGGATGGATTGAGGATGGATGATGGAAGGATGGATGGATAGATGGATGATGGAAGGATGGATGGATAGATGGATGGATAGATGCATAGATGGATGGATGGATGATGATGGATGGATGCATAGATGGATGGATGGATGATGATGGATGGATGCATAGATGGATGAACAGAAGGAAGGATGGATGGATGGATGGATGAACAGAAGGATGGATGGATGAATTGATGCACGGATGGATGGATAGATAAAAGGATGAATGGATGATGGATGAAAGGATGGATGGATAGATGGATGATGGAAGGATGGACGGATGGATAGATGGATGGATAGATGCATAGATGGATGGATGATGGATGGATGCATAGATGAATGAATGGATGGATGGATGAACAGAAGGATGGATGGATGAATTGATGCACGGATGGATGGATGGATGGATGGATAAAAGGATGAATGGATGATGGATGAATGGATGGAAGGATGGATGGATTCATGGATGGATGGAAGGATAAAAGGATGAATGGATGGATGGATGGATGGATGAATGGATGAAGGAACATGTTGAAGGTGGAACAGTTCAGCTGTAGGTCATAAAGTGAGCGTCTGACAGCAGAATGAGCTAAAGAAAGATGGCCGCCTTCTCCTTACAGCTCCATTAATTTCAGGTGAAACTAAAGAGCTGTCTGACTGAGGTCAACCAAGTTCAGAGGAACAAATGAGTAATGAGACGAGGCAGGACYGGAACAAAGAACCTGTTTACAATTAAGGCAAAATTYGATTTTTAGACWATTTAATCATCTTGAGAAACTAAAGAGCTTCTTGTACAAACTAGAAATGATTTTTTATTTCTGTGTTTCTACAGGAGCCTGTATATTCATCTGATGAGCTGTTTTAGTAMATCCAGTTTACACTGCAAAAACTGTCCAACTGATAAGCATTAAACCAGTTAATCGCACATTAAATTGAAACGAGGTTGATCATTTTTATTTGCCTGCTTGTTTGTTTTRTTTGTGTTTGTGTTTTCTATTCCTCAGCGTTGGGAGGAGTTAACTCTGCCACACAGTTTTTTTTACAGTTTTTTTTATGCTGTGTAAATTCCATAAACTTCCTAAACGGTATGAGGATGACCTCAAATATTTTATAAAGCCAGAGTAAGACCAATCATATTTCCAGATATTTTCCTGGATAGTTACTTAGAAAGAGGTACACAAGTAAGATATATTATTTTTAGCATTGTTATTGTTATCATAGACTAATTAACTAAAATAGCACAAGTCACTCCTKACCAGGGCAGAAACAAGTCGATAGACATTTAAAGCTTCTTTGGATCCTAAATATTTTATTTTTTCCACAGTATCTGGTCTGCACCAGCACATTTACAGCAGTAGTGTACTCTCTGTGATCCACTTCACTGTGTTTTGAACCGGAGCAAATCACTTCCTGCCCTCCATCTGAATTTTGCACATCATCAGGGTCACATGACTGCAACCCAGCAATTAGTTTAAAGTGATCTCCAAAGGATTTTATAATTATATAGGAGATATTTTATCATCCAGCAACATTTGTTATTGTGACGGGGCTACATTTTACCAAGTCTCACAATCAAAAAGAAAAATAAGTAGGTCCTCTGGATGGTTCTTCTTTAGTGAAACGTTTCGTCTCTCCTCCAAGAGACTTCTTCAGTCTGA